TGGAATTGCTGGGTCCTGAGGGAGGTTGACTCCCAGTTTCCTGAGAAACCGCCACACTGATTTCCACAGTGGCTGCACAAGTTTGCATTCCCACCAACAATGGATGAGTGTTCCCCTCATTCCACATCCTCTCCAGCATAGGCTATCATTGGTGTTTTTGAGTTTGGCTATTCTGACAGGTGTAAGATGATATCTCAAAGTTGTTTTGATTTGCATTTCCCTGATCGCTAAGGAGGTTGAGCATGACTTTAAGTGCCTTTTGGCCATTCGGAGTTCATCTGTTGTGAATTCTCTGTTCAGTTCAGTACCCCATTTTTTAATTGGGTTAATTAGAGTTTTAGTGTCTAGTTTCTTGAGTTCTTTGTATAATTTGGAGATCAGACCTTTGTCTGATGAGGGATTTGTGAAGATCTTCTCCCAGTCGGAAGGTAGCCTTTTGGTCTTACTGACAGTGTCCTTTGCTTTACAGAAGCTTCTCAGTTTCAGGAGGTCCCATTTATTCATTTCTTCTCTTATTGTCTGAGCTCCTGGGGTTCTGCTTAGGAACTGGTCTCCTGTGCCTATATCTTGTAGACTACTTCCCACTTTCTCTTCTATCAGGTTCAAAGTGGTCAGATTAATGTTGAGGTCTTTAATCCATTTGGACTTGAGTTTTGTGCATGGTGATAGATATGGATCTATTTTCGTTCTTCTACAGGTTGACATCCAGTTATGCCAGCACCATTTGTTAAAGATGTGTTCCTTCTTCCATTGTATGCCTTTAGCTCCCTTGTCAAATATCAGGTGTTCATATGTTTGTGGGTTAATACCCGGGTCTTCTATTCGATTCCATAGGTCGACTTCTCTGTTGTTATGCCAATACCAAGCTGTTTTCAATACTGTTGCTCTGTAATAGAGTTTGAAGTCAGGGATGGTAATGCCTCCAGAAGTTTCTTTATTGTATAAGATTGTTTTGGCTATCCTGGGTTTTTTGTTTTTCCATATAAACTTGATTATTGTTCTCTCAAGGTCTGTGAAGAAGTTTGATGGAATTTTGATGGGAATTGCGTTGAATCTATAGATTGCTTTTGGTAGAATTGCCATTTTTACTATGTTGATTCTCCCAATCCAAGAACAGGGGAGATCTTTCCATTTTCTGGTATCCTCCTCAATTTCTTTCTTCAAGGACTTAAAGTTCTTGTCAAATAAGTCTTTCACTTCCTTGGTTAGAGTTACCCCAAGATATTTTATGCTATTTGTGGCTATCATGAAAGGTGATGTTTCTCTGATTTCCCTCTCTGCTTCTTTATCCTTTGTGTATAGGAGGGCAACCGATTTTTTGGAGTCGATCTTGTATCCTGCCACATTACTAAAGGTGTTTATCAGCTGTAGGAGTTCTTTGGTAGAGTTTTTGGGGTCGCTTATGTACACTATCATATTGTCTGCAAATAACGAAAGTTTAACTTCATCCTTTCCAATTCGAATCCCCTTGATCCCCTTATGTTGTCTTATTGCTATTGCTAGGACTTCAAGCACTATATTGAAGAGGTATGGAGAGAGTGGACAGCCTTGTCGTGTTCCTGATTTTAGTGGAATGGCTTTGAGTTTCTCTCCGTTCAATTTGATGTTAGCTGTCAGCTTACTATATATTGCTTTTATTATATTTAGATATGATCCTCGTATACCCAATCTCTCCAACACCTTTATCATAAAGGAGTGTTGAATTTTGTCAAATGCTTTTTCAGCATCCAATGAAATGATCATATGGTTTTTTCTTTCAATTTATTTATATGATGGATTACATTGATAGATTTGCGTATGTTGAACCAGCCCTGCATCTCTGGGATGAAGCCCACTTGATCATAATGGATAATTTTTCTAATGTATTCTTGGATTCGGTTTGCCAGTATTTTATTGAGTATTTTGGCGTCAATGTTCATGAGTGAGATTGGTCTGTAATTCTCTTTCTTGGTTGTGTCTTTGTGTGGTTTTGGTATCAGGGTAACTGTAGCTTCATAAAAAGAGTTTGGCAATGATTCATCTGTTTCTATATTGTGAAATACATTAAGGAGTATAGGTATTAGCTCTTCCTGGAAGTTCTGGTAGAATTCTGCATCGAAACCATCTGGACCTGGGCTTTTTTTGGTGGGGAGGTTTTTGATAACAGCTTCTAATTCTTCGCGACTAACAGGTCTATTTAGATTGTTCACTTGCTCTTGATTTAACTTTGGTAAATGGTATTTATGAAATAGCCGGTTCTTGAGTGTAACTATTGTGGGTGGGATATATGTTGTGTTACCGTATGTATATGCAGATTTTCAGTCCCTATATGAGCATGTGGGGGACAGAAGTCAATAACAGATGTTGCTTTCACCCTTTAAAAAAAGTATTTATTTTTATTTATGTGTGTGTGTGTGTGTTGGAAGCTATAAGAGGTGTTTGACCACAGTTGTGAGCTGTCCAACATGGGTGCTGGAAACTGAACTCGGGTTTCCCAGAAAAATATGAAATCCTTCTCTCCAGTCCTGCTGCTTTGCATTTCGAAGCAGGGTCTCTCACTGAACCCAGAGCTCAGCATTTCAGCTAGATTAGCTGCCGCAAACCCCCAGGGTCTGCCAGTCTCTGAGCCCCTGTGTTGGGATTACAGGCATGCACTTGTTATAGAATATTATACTATCACACTGATGATTATCTCAAATATCACCGTAGAATCTTTGTCCGGTGACAGATGAAGATAGAGACAGAGACCCTCATCAGAGCAACGGACTGAGCTCCCAAGGTCCAGTTGAAAGGCAGAAAGAGGGAGAAGATGAGCAAGGAAGTCAGGACCACAAGGGGTTGGTCCACCAACTGAGGCAGTGTGCCTGTTCTAATGGGAGCTTACCTAATCCAGCTGGACCGGGACTGAATGAGCATGCAATCAAACCGGACTCTCTGAATGTGGCTGACAATGGGGGCTGACTGAGAAGCCATTGATAAAGGCACTGGGACTTGTTTTTACAGCATGTTCTGGCTTTTTGGGACCCTAGTCTATACGGATGCACAGCTCCCTAGGCCTGGATGTAGCGGGGAGGGCCTTGGACTTTTTTTTTCTACCCTCTCTCAAGCAGGGAGGGGGAGGGAGGAGGAGGAGTGGGGGAGTAGGAGGGGAATGGGAGGAGGGGAGGAAGTGTAAATATTTGAACGGAAAAATAAAAAAAAACAGATTAGAGTAATAAAATCTCTAATGATATTTTTAAAAAGATGTGTTACATTTGTTTATGTTGTGGAGCATTTGTTTGATGATGCAAAGAGATGCTTCATTCCTTTGTGAATGTTTAACTTTGTGAAGCTGTGTTGCTTTGCCTGTCTAAAACCCCTGATTGGTCTAATAGAGAGCTGAACAGTCAATAGCAAGGCAGGAGAAAGGAGAGCGGGGCTGGGAGGCGGACAGAATAAACAGAAGAAGAAAAAGGGTAACGGGAAGTGAGAGGGATTGAGGTATGAGAAAATAAGGAGAGAGGACACCAAGAGCTAGCCACCCAGTTACACAGCCAGACATGGAGTAAGGAGTAAAGAAAGGTATACAGAAATAGAGAAAGGTAAAAGCTCAGAGGCGAAAGGTAGGTGGACTAATTTAAGAAAAGCTGGCTAGAAACAAGCCAAGCTAAGGCTGGGCATTTGTAAATAATAATAAGCCTCCATGTAATTTATTTGGGAGCTGGGTGGTGGACCTGGCGAAGAGTAAAGAGCTAAAAGAGTATAAGCAACGTAATCAACTACATCTACTTCTGTCCCTGGCTTTTCTGGGTGCTAGTGATTCCAAGCTAGATCCTTGCATGTGCAGTGGGCACGTTACCCTGAGTCATCTCCCATAACTAATTTTCAAATACCAATATGTTTGAAAGGATAGATTAAAGGATAGAAAATCAGCAATCTTGATTTTCTGACATAGATGCATTTTGTTTATTTCCATACTCACTGAAAAATACGCTTTAGAAAGTCCAGGTTTCTCATTTAAATCAGGAATTCTTTCTCTTTTATTATTGTTATTGTTCTTGCTACTATTTTGAGGCAAGGTTTTGCTCGGTAGCCCAGGCTGTCCTCAAACTTACTATGCATAGCCTGGGGTGGTCTTGGTCTCACTCAGTCTTTTAAATGCAGAAATTGCAGATCTGTACCAATATGCCGGGTAATAAAACCCTCATGGATGACAAATTTTTGGTGCTAGGGGTCAAAGCCAGGACTTTACACGTTAGGCAAGGGTTTTAGCATGGAGCTTCTCCCCAGCCCTCTGTCTTTGTATTCCACAGAAGGACAACTAAGTTACTTCCAATGGGCTTACTTACAAAAGATTTTAGAACATAATCAGACTTGGAGCCTCCAGTTCAGCTGGAGTCATTGAAAGTTTGTGTAAAGTTTTCATATAGTGCAAAGTTGGCCCATTCCCTTTCCTTACCAAAGGTATTTCTAACACAGAACTTGGAAAAAGAATGTGTTTTTAGGTCTAGGAGTTTGCTCCAAAGTTCTGCTCTTATTAAAGACACCCTTGTGACTTCATACTGGGATATATATGGACTATTATTTCTTCTCATTGTGGAGGGGCAAGATCTACTCTGGAGACACACTCTTTCTTTTCTTTCTTTCTTCTTTTTTTTTTTTTTTAAATCCCGACTCCACCCTTTATTGGCTTTGTGGCTTTGTCTGTGCTTCCATTTCTTCCTCTGCACAAGCTTCTTGCAGCCTGGCACACAGTGAGCCCTTTATGACCTTGTGCCACCATCGTCATTGTCAAAGTTCTCAGAGCACATAACCACAGGCCTGTTTTCCTTCTTATTCAGAAGAAGCTCAGAGGGCAGAGGGCACATGCCCAGAGCTAAGCAGCTTGTTAAAAGTCGAATAGAAAGAGATGAGAGGAAGCCAAAGAGCTTTTTCTCTTTAGATAGTTATCACCACGCTTCGCTGCAGACTCTGGGCTTGGGTACGGCCTGAGATCAAAGGCCCTCTTATGTGTAGTGACATTTCTGAGCACAGGGCTGAGTTATAAAACTCTTGAATGGGAGGCTTTGGCACTTGGAGCACAGCTCGGGATGTTAGGGCGGGTTTTTATGGAGACGATTCACGGAACTGCTGAGGCTGGTGGTGGAGAACCCAGACTGTTATGACTCATTTGTCTTTTTATTGCGCGGGACCAAGAGCTGTTGTTTCCTTTTAAGTCCCTCTGTGGAGCTGAGCTCCAGCTAAGGGCAAGATAACTCTTTCAGGAAGACAGTGCGGCTTTAGTGCCTGTGAACAGGAATAGTGTGCTGTGGGGCCCCGGGTCAAGTGTACTGGACAAGCAAGGGAAGATTTTTTTTTTTTTAACCATGAGGCAGAATTTCTTTTGGAAACCAGAACATCCTTTAAGTCTTCAGCTTTAGACAAGCTTTCCTTTTCTTCTGTTGACCGCTTTCTTTCCCCGAAAGCCTAAGCCAAATGGGGTTGTGCAGCAAAGAGAAAGGAGGTATGAGTATGACTGGGCCGTCTCACAGGGACCAGGGGATGCAGAAGAGGGCATTGGGAGTCCAGTTTGCCTGAGGTCCCTCTAGGCCTCTGGGAAGAAACCATGAGGAGGACTTTGGGACTAGAGGGTGAGACCTAGTAAGATAGGCAGTCATCTGAGTGCCCACCCCCCAACTCCTGGCACTAAATCCAGTGTGTGGTCTCCTTCCCTTGGACTTGAGTTGGAACTCTGAGACCTGCTTTTCATGAATAAGATGAGGCAATCGAGATATCTGTGCCATGATTAGGTCACAAGAGGCAGCAATTTCTACCTTGTTAGGTATCCTTCTCTTGCTACCACGGTCTCATTCTTGTTCTTGCCCGTGCTTTCTGGTGTGCTCTGATGAAGGTAGATGCCATCATGGAGAGGCTTGATGATGAGGTACCAGTGGTGACTTCTGGTCAACACATATCGAAACCCCGTGACCTTCGACCCAGCAGCATCCATGTCCTGGATCCTGTCAACAACTGTGAGGTGAGTTTAGAAGTGTGTCTGCCCTGTCCCAGTCAGACTTTGAAATGATGGTAGCCCAGGCTGTCACTTTGATTTCTGTCTTGTCGGGAGGGCCCTAACTAAGTGGTATCTAACTTTCCGTGAAGTTAGATAATAAATGTGTATTGTTTTGATCTGGTAAATTGAAGTAATTTTTATTGCAGCATTAGAGGAAAAAAATGCGTGAGGCAGATAGAATTTTAGATCTTATATCAAGAGATAAACAAAGATGTCCTCCAAATTCGGGGGTTTTGGATACTTTTAATGAGATTGATCCTGGCTGTGAAGAACATGACTATTCAGATACAAGGGAAAAATGTTAATTATAGCCTCTAATTAAGAACCAGAGGAAGAGCTAGTACCAAAAGCAGGTTTTAGTTGAGGACCCTAACCAGGAGCTAAAGTTACTGATGGGGAGAAAAGTCCTTGGTAAAAAGGAAGCATTAAGAATTGGGGACATGGGGTGAGAGGATGCATCTTCATTTACAATAGTTCTCATTTCACACTGGGGGGGGGGGCTGTGTGTTGTCAGAAGGAAGACAATCACAAAGAAAGAAAAGTTATACCTCAGTAAACAAAAAGAATTTAGACGAATAATGCTCAACATGGAAAATTTGACTACATACAAAAATAAGATAAAACGACCACACACAATCCTAGTATCAGAAGGAATGGTGCTAACATTTTAAAATATTTTTTTTTTGTAGGCGGTGTTGAGATGGTTTAGCAGGTAAAGGCACTTGCCACCAACCCAGAAGACCTGAGTTTAATCCCTAGGACCCACAAGTGTAAGGAGAGAACCTACATTTCATGTTGTCCTCTGATCTCCACATACATGGACTGTGGTCATTTGTACAAACTAAATAAACTTAAAAAAATGTAATAAAATTTTGACAGGCAGTGGTGGCATACTGCTTTAATCCCTGCACTTGGAAAGCAGAGGCAGGCAGATCTCTGAGTTTTGATAACAGGCTGATCTACAGAGTTAATTTCAGGACAGCCAAGGGAACTCAGAGAAACTATGCCTCCACTCCCCCCAAAAGTAATAAAATATTTTCATCTTCAATATATACTTAATTTTGTTTGTTTTGCTTATTTTTTGAGACGTGATCTTATTATATAGATCAGGCAATCCTCAAACTCAAAGTCGCGCCACCTCTTCTTCTAAATGTTGGGACCATAGATAAGCACTATCAAGCCTGGCTTCAGTGTTTGTACTGACTGGATTTGTGTGTCAACTTGACATAAACCAGAGTCATCAGAGAAGAAGGAGTCTCAGTTGAGGAAATGCCTCCAAGAGACCCAACTGTAAGGCATTTCTCCATTAGTGATCAATGGGGGAGGACCCAGTCCATTGTGGGTGGTGCCAACCCTGGGCAGGTGGTCCTGAGTTCTACAAGAAAGGAGGCTGCCTGATATTGGCATAAAAACAGACAGGAGAACAAATGGAACTGAATAGAAGACCTGGATATTCATACACACACCTTTGAACACCTGAATTTTGACAAAGAAGCAAAAAACATCAAGTGGAAAAAAGAAAGCATATTTAACATATGGTGCTGACATAACTGGATATCAACATATAGAAGAATGAAAATAGATTGATATCTATCACCATGAACAAAACTCAAATCCAAAAGACTTCAACATAAAGCCAACCACAATGAACCACATAGCAGAGAAAGTGGGAAGTACACATGAACGCATTGGCACAGGAGACCACTTCCTAAATATAACCCCAGCAGCACAGTCACTGAGAGAAACTATTAATAAATGGGACCTCTTAAAGCTGAAAAGCTTCTATAAAGCAAGGGACATGGTCAACAAGACAAAACAACAGCCTACAGAATGGGAAAAGATCTTCACCAGTTCCACATCAGACAGAGGGCTGATCTCCAAAATATACAAAGAACTCAAGAAATTAGTCATCAAAAGAACAAATAATCCAATAAAAAATGGAATACAGACCTAAATAGAGAACTCTGAACAGAAGAATCTAAAATGGCTGAAAGATACTTAAGGAAATGCTCAACATTCTTAGTCATCAGAGAAATGCAAATCAAAACAACTCTGAGATTCCATCTTACACCTATAAGAATGGCCAAGATCAAAAACACTAATGACAACTTTTACTAGAGAGATTGTGGGGTAAAGGGAACTCTACTGCATTGCTGGTGGGAGTGAAAGATGGTACAGCCCCTTTGGATGTCAGTGTGACAATTTCTTAGAAAATTAGGAAACAACCTTCCTCAAGACCCAGTAGTACCACTTTTAGGTATATATCCAAAGGATGCTCAATCGTGCCACAAGGGCATGTGCTCAGTTATGTTCATAGCAGCATTGCTTGTCATAGCCAGAACCTGGAAACAACCTAAATGCCCCTCGACCAAAGAATGGATAAGGAAAATGTGGTACATTTACACAATGGAGTACTACACAGCAGAAAAAAATAATGCCAGATTGAAATTTGCAGGCAAATGGATGGAGCTAGGAAACATCATTCTGAGTGAGGTATCCCAGACCCAGAAAGACAATTATCACATGTACTCACTCGTAAGTGGTTTTTAAACATAAAGCAAAGTAAACCAGCTTACAAATCACAACCCTAGAGAACCTAGACAACAATGAGGACACTTAGAGAGACATACATAGATCTAATCTACATGGCAAGTAGAAAAAGACAAGTTCTCCTGAGTAAATTGGGAGCATGGGGACCATGGGAGAGGATAGAAGGGGAAGGGAGAGACAGGGAGGGAAGCAAAGAAAAATGTAAAGCTCAATAAAATCAATAAAAAAAAAAGAAAGAAAAAAAGCAGGCTGAGCAAGCCATGAAAAAGCAAGTCAGTAAGCAGCTCCCCTCCATGGCCTCTGCCTCAGCTCTTGTTTCCGGGATCCTGCCCTATTGGAGTTCCTGTCCTGACTTTATTCAGTGAAGAACAGCGATATGGAAGTGTAAGCCAGATAAACCCTTTCCTCCCTAACTTGCTTTTTGGTCATGGTGTTTCATTGCAGCAACAGAAACCTTAAATAAGACAGTGTGCATTTTTTAAAAAAATTGTATACACAATTTTGCTTTAATTCAAATTTAAATTGTTTAGTAATTCAAGCATGCAGATAATAAGTTTTCACCAAGTACAGGGGTTTGGATTGAGTTTGGTCCTGTATTTTTCTCCCACATAAAAATCTACCTGTAGGTGGGCATTGCAGATAAAGTTCAGTAGTTCTAAACCAGCCTCATTATGGCCCTTATTTTTATTTCTTTCCTCTTCTCTTACTGGGTTACCTTTGCGTTTACAAAATGCCTAGTGCTCCAGAAATCACACCCACATTCTATAACACAGAAATTAAAAGATGTCTTAGGAAGTTTCACATAATACTTTCATCTATGTTTTCTTGGTTCAGACTTAGTCATATGGCCACATTTAATTGAACAGAAGGTAGGAAATAAATTATTTTATTCAGGATAATGGGATTCTGAGCTAAAATCTTTACCATGCCATGAAACAGTAATTGGGTTTTAGTTTTGTATGTTTGTTTGACTGTCTAAAGTTGTCCTGGAACTTACTATGTAGGCCAGGCTAGCCTAGAACCCATGACCCTGCCTCCACCTCCTGAGCACTGGGATTGCAGGTGAGTGCCACCATGTCTAGACATCAACCGGATCCAACATTTTGCTAAATAGAATCTCTCTGAAACATTTAAATTAATAAATGAAAAATTAAAGATTTATGTATCTATATCTATCTCAGTTTTCAATGAAGACATAGACAAAGCTGGAAGTGTATCATCTCTGCTTGATGAGAAAATTTCCCAGCCTACTGAGAAAGCTGCCAGCCTTGGACAGGTAGTCCAGGGTCTTTTAAGAACACAATCTGTGAAGGACATAAAGAGAAAACCAATAAGCAGCATTCCGCCATGGTTTCTACTTCAAGGTTCCTGCTTTGTGTTCCTGCAGGTGGATATTTGTGGGTTCCAGGCCAGTCTGGTCTACATGATGAATTCTAGGGCAACACAGTAAGAGCCTGTGAAGAAGAAGAAAGCAGAAGGAGGAGGAGGAGGAGGAAGAGGAGGAGGAGGAGGAGGAGGAGGAGGAGGAGGAGGAGGAGGAGGA